TGCCGGATGATGGCTAAAATAGTTATGCCCAGGGTATACAAACGGTGCAGGGTTTCTGCTACTAGATGTTTCATGGTATCTCGGAAAGCAAACATTGCCAGAGTCATTGGAGCCAGCAACAACGTTACCTAAGAGATCATTCAAGAAGAAGAATAAGATTTTGAAGAACTTGAAATAAAGACCAATCTCAACGATGAGGATAAGGATAGTACCATGCATATAAGGTACAGAGGGTGGTGCTTGGGACCAAAGCGAAGACGAACCATCAGATCTGTTGCCATTACAATGTTGGTCAAACCAGATTGGGGGTGGAGGTGGAAAAGGATGAGCTGAATAGTTTCCTTGAATGAAATTGTTATGACCATGAGAGAGAAGCGGATCCATTGTAGCTGCTCCTGCTCTGTTCCTAACACTTCTCTGATCTAGTGGTTGTGGGTAAGTACCAAACTGTGAAAATGATGAAGGTGCTGTCTCTGGTGTATTCAATTGGGGGAAAGAACAAGAAGGAGCTGCTGCTGGAGTGCTTAGATACTGATAATGTCCGGGCACTACTTCAGCGTTCTTTCTTTTGTATCCGTGACCCATAAAATGGGCATTCCTCTCATGTTCAGTGGAATTAACTCCAACGACTGCACCATGATGATGGCTTCCATGAGGAAACGGATGACTCGATGTCGATGGAGCATGAAAAGGCGCATAAGGAGGATAGAAATTTGGTGCGGTTGACATGCCATTGGCAGCACCAAGATTTGAAGCACGTTGATGATGGTACTCTGGAAGCCCGTAGAACATTGAGTTGTTGTCATAGGGTTCTTGCAGAGAATACGGTTCTAAATTAGGAACAGTATTCATGGGTGTAATATCTGGATGCAGAAAGTTAGTTACAAAGCCTTGAGAACTCTGCTCCATGTCTGAACCAGCCATCATATTTGTTTGTCTCATATTGCTAGCTGCAGAAACCCACCCCCTGGTAGTTGAATTTACAAAGATCAGCAACATTACAGCGAAAGAACAAAAGCTCGATGCTATTACATCAAAAGCTGATATATCTAGTAATGAAATCAAGACATGCAAGAAGTAAATATTCTCCCCTAGTTTGTCCCGAGAATGCAACACACAAGGTCTCAAAACATCTCCGGATATTTTTTCGTCATCATCCAAAGTTATAGAACCACAAAGAAACTGTATCCACAGAGAGCACATAGAACATTCAAGCTTCACGGATATACATTGTAAATAAGGAAACTTTTAACTGCAGAGATCAAAACCCAATTCAGAAAGCAAGAACAAACAATCCGAATTTTACGAGTTTCTTCAAACCTCAAAAACATGCCTTACCAAAAAATCAGATCAAAATTCCATTCACATAGTATCAATCCTGACCTTTGAAACATTGAGATTGAAGAAAAAATAAGCTTGTGCAACCAACAACTTGTATTTAAAGATGATCGGAAACTCCATTGTAACACAATACAAAAAATCTAACAACCTAAGACGATCAGAACAGATTAAACACAAATTATGACAGTAACCCAGAACAATGCAATTCTTCAGCAGCTCGTATCAAAACAATTCCAAAGATAATCAACAAAACAAACCCACCCAAAAAAGCCAAAACGAATATAAAACTCAGAATCAAAAGCTCCGATGATAATCATAAAGAGATAAGTACCTGATTATCGAGAGAATTTAATC